AATCAACTAACTAATCAACCAACCAATCAACTAATCAATCAACTAATCAACTAACTAATCAACTAACCAACCAATCAACTAATCAACCAACTAATCAACCAATCAACCAACGAGCCAACCAACTAATTAACCAACCAATCAACTAACTAATCAACCAACCAACCAATCAACTCGTCATGGCAGATTACGTCAGCGGCTCCAGTCGAGACATGTACCATGCTGTTGGAGAATGCAGTTACGATTGAAGATGTTGATGACGACCTCGAGGAAGAAATGTTCCACGAGTGCTCCCGATATGGAAAGGTGTGTGTGCTTGGTTGGTTGGTTTGTTGGCTGGTTGGTTGGTTAGATGGTTGGTTGGTTGGTTGGTTGGTTGGTTGGTTGGTTGGTTAGTTGGTTGGCTGGCTGGTTGGTTATTTGGTTGGTTGGTTGGTTGGTTGGCTGGTTGGGTGGTTAATTGGTTGGCTGGCTGGCTGGCTGGCTGGCTGGTTGGTTGGTTGGTTGGTCATTATCATCATCATCATTTTCGTCATCACTATCATCATCTTTATCATCATCACTATCATCATCATCATCATCATCACTATCATCATCGACCCCAGGTTTTAAAAGTCTCCATTCAGCCCGGCAAAGTGGACGATGACGTCAAGATATACGTCAGATACACCAGCGCTAGCGGTAGTGATGATGATGATGACGATGATGATGATGATGACGACGATGATGGTGGTGGTGGTGGTGATAATAATATTAATAATAATAAATAATAATAAATTAAAATTATGATGTTAATAATAATAGTAATAAATATTTTAAATCTCTGTCCACTTAATCACTCTTTATAACAACAATAATAATAATAATAATATCAATAGCGATAGTAACAATATTAATAATAATGATAATTAATAATAAATTAAAATTATGATGTTATTAATAATAATAGTAATAATAAATATTTTAAATCTCCGCCCACTGACTCAACCACAGAGGCTCGGGTAGCCATCACGAATTTAAGTGGCAGGTTCTTCGCCGGTCGACAGGTCATGGCCAAGTTTAGTGACCATGAAATTCAGGTCGAAGGTCAAATCGAGTGAACCCTTGACCTGCTGAGATGTCAAAGGTCGGAGGGGAGGAATTTTTCTCCTAACACTTATTAGTGGCGAATTTTGGCGATAATTTTATTAAGAGGACGGTGTTGATGATGATGGTAATAATAATAATTAGCGTTATAATTATTATCATTATAATTGCCATTATTATTATTATAATTTTTATTATTTTAATACAAATGACAACAATGATGATGATGATGATGATAGTAGTTAAAAATATCTGATGGTTTTAATTTTATCCTCATTTATAACGATTGTTAATAATAATTTTAATAAAATATAATTATAACAATAATAATAATAAAAATAATAATAATAATAATGATAATACTGACAGGTTGTCGCGTTTGACATTCTTATCTTAGTGGTACTATGTATTATTATTTTTATGATAATTTATTATTATCATTGTAATCTGAAATAAACTTTTGAAATATTTTCGAGTGATATTTTCAAAACTGGTTGTGTATATTGTATATATAATTATATATAAGATGATAAATTGAAAATTTTTGAAACGTTAACTTTTGCCCGATTGCTAGTCTCCGGGCAGTTGTGCAACTAAAAATCAACTTAGGCTTTAAAAATAAACAAAAACACGGTAAATAATTGTTAGGGTAGTAAAAGGTATTCCATAAATTACGATTAAAAACATCAAATCAAACTAATTTAGAGTCAGTTATTAAGGATTCAATAAGAAAAAACAAAATGGCTTTCACCGTGCTCTGCCTGACCGTCGTCAGATGGGTTCCAGTTGTATTTGTCGTTCTGCTCTTCGTCTGGTCCACATACGCCTACATCGTCCAGATGTGCCTCTGTGAGTAGTGATTCCTTCTAATTAGGCAGATTGGGGATCAATTTCATTGTAATGTTTCTAAATGTCAACTTAAATAACTAATAACACCCTGTCCTGCTTCTACCTTTCAAGCAACACATATTTAAAATTTAATAACTTTTTAAAAAATTAAAAATAATTTTGAAAATATAGTTTTAGATCCAACTCTAAAATCTAAATGTAACAGGGTCTTTCATACAAAGAAGTAAAAGTCACAAAAGTTGAAAGAAAAAAAAATCTAAAAATAACTCACAAAGATTCGTTGTTTCAAACACGTTTAAGCGGACTCTATAGGGTCCGTTTTAGGGTTAAACTACACTAGTATTAAATCTAAAGCGACTAGTGTCTACATACACATGTATGTAGACACATACACATGCACACACACACAAAAACATAAAAGCATAAGTAAGATGTATGTGTATGTATGTATGCGTTCTTAAAGCACCATTCGGGCGTGTCTACTTACCTCTCTTTAATGTTCTTTCTTGAAAATAATTCTAAAAAATATTTCTCAGATATGGTCACAGATCTTGTCGAACGAAGTGGGTGTCACACACACACACACACACACACACCACACACACATACTTTCATACATACATGCATACATACAAACAAACACACATGTATACATACATGCACACATACACACAAACAAACATACACACATACAAACATACATACAAACATATGGACATACAGTCTTCTACATAGTGATCTTCAGCGTATTGCTGTTCATGTGCATCTGGTGCTTCATAAAAGCCATCTTCACTCCAACGGCTGGAGTTCCATTCCAAGTTGGATGTTTGATTGATTGATTGATTGATTGATTGATTGATTGATTGATTGATTGATTGATTGATTGGCCAATCAACCAACCAATCACCAACCAACCGACGAATCAATCAACCAACGAATCAATCAACCAATCAATCAATCAATCAATCAATCACCAATTAACCAACCAACCTATCACAGTACTTCTTGACTGCAGACGAGAAGGATCAGGCTGAGAAGGGCAAGGCCGAATGTAAGGAGGTCGTGGAGAACAAGGGCATCAAGCTGAGAGTTCAAGGTCGAACTGTCAGAGGATGTAGGTTCAGTGAGTGAATGAATGGATGGATGGATGAACGGGTGATTGAATGAGTGAATGAATTAATGGATTGATTGATTGATTGATTGATTGATTGATTGATTGATTGATTGATTGATTGATTGATTGATTGATTGATTGATTGATTGATTGATTGATTGATTGATTGATTGATTGATTGATTGATTGATTGATTGATTGATTGATTGATTGATTGATTGATTGATTGATTGATTGATTGATTGATTGATTGATTGATTGATTGATTGATTGATTGATTGATTGATTGATTGATTGATTGATTGATTGATTGATTGATTGATTGATTGATTGACCAGGCGTACGATTTTGTGAGGCATGCCAATGCATCAAGCCAGATAGGACGCACCACTGTTCTAACTGTCAAAAGTTAGTTGGGTGGTTGGTTGACTGATTGGTTGATTGATTGATGGGTTGACTGGTTCTTCCAGTTCTTCATTTATTCATCATTCATTCATTCATTCATCGATTGATTGATTCATTCTTTCGTTCGCTAATTCATTCAAGGGTTCACATATTTCTTCGTCTAATAGTTTTATTCATTCGTTCGTTAATCAAGTTAAATTTTCTTTTCCATTCATTCATTCATTCATTCATTCATTCATTCATTCATTCATTCATTCATTCATTCATTCATTCATTCATTCATTCATTCATCCATTCATTTATTCATTCATTCATCCATCCATTCATTCATTCATCCATCCATTTATTTATTCATTATTCATTTATTCATTCTCAGATGTGTGTTGAAGATGGACCACCACTGCCCCTGGTAGAATTCACCATCATTATAACCGTCATCATTATCACCACCACCATAATAATCATCGTCGCCATCATCATCACCACCATCGCGATCATCATCACCATTATCGCGATCATCGTCATTAGGATCAACAACTACGTCATCATTATCATCACCACCACCATCATCATCATCACCACCACCGTCACGACCATCATCATCACGATCATCACCACCACTGCGTCATCATCATCATCACCACCCTTTAATCACGATCATCATCACCACTATCACGATCATCATCACCATCACCACCATCATCATCATCATCACCACCAGGATCAACAACTGCGTCTGCTACAGCAACTACAAGTTCTTCTTCCTCTTCCTCATGTACTCCTTCCTCTTCTGCCTTTTCATCGCGGCCACCAGCTGCCAGTACTTCGTCAAGTTCTGGACGGTAGTGACGATGATGATGATGGTGGTGGTGATAGGGGTCTTGGTGGTAGTGGTGGTGGTGATGATGATAGGTTGATGATGATGATAGTGATGATGATGATGATAGTGATGATGATGATGATAGTGATGATGATGATGATTTCTATTCTCAATCTTTCCTCCACTCCCCCTTCACGCTTCCACTCCGGACCTTCATGGGACACTTATTCAAATAATAATAATAACAATAATAATAATAATAATAAATAATAATAATAAATAAATAAATAAATTATTATTTATAACAAATATATTATTATTGATAATGATGATGATAATAATACCAACAATAACAACAAAATCAATAATTACGATAATAATAATAACAACAATAATAATAAATAATAATAATAATAATAAATAATAATAATAAATAAATAATTAACAAATAATAATAAATAAATAATAAGATGGACCTGTCGATAGAGGGCTACGGCAAATTCAACATCCTCTTCCTCTTCTTCGTCTCCATCATGTTCACCATCAGTCTGCTCACCCTGCACTCCTACCACTCCTATCTTATTACCGTCAATAGGACCACTCTAGGTATCACTTTCTCTCTCTCTCTCTCTCTCTCTCTCTCTCTCTCTCTCTCTCTCTTTCTTTCTATCTTTTTTTTTCTTTCATTCTCTTGGTTGGTTTCTCCTTTTTTTAACTACATTCTCAGTCTGTCTGTCAGTCATTCTTTCTGCTTTTTCTTACTCTTTCTGTGTCTCTTATTGCTCTCTTTTCTCTCTTTTCTTCTATCTCTCTCTCTTTCTCTCTCTCTTTCTCTTTCCCTCCCTCTCTCTCTCTGTCTACTTTTAATTTACTCCTTTGTTGAATTAGTTTGTTATTTTTCGCGGTTTTTGTTCTTCTACCATTTCAACCTCGTTTCAACTGTCAGTTCTTAGTTTCCTTTCGTCGACCTACTCTGTTGCGTTGTAATCAGGATTCGGTGATGGAGGTCGTTCGTTCGTGGTGGTGGTGGTGGTGTTGGTGGTGGTAGTAGTGGTGGTGGTAGTAGTGGTGGTGGTGGTGCCCCTCTGTATAACTGGTGTCCTCTAGTTCACTTAATGGTTTTTTGTTATTTGGCGAATTTTGCGTTTGCTCGCTGGCTTGTATTTTTTTATTTTATTTTTTAGTTTTATTTTATGTTCATTCATTTATTTATTCGTTCGTTCGTTAGTTCGTTCGTTCGTTCGTTTATTTATTTATTTTTGTGAGGTCATCATCACCATCATTTCAGTCGTTAGATCCGCGACCGGAAGATGATTCAGCAGCGTCATCATCATCATCACCGTTATCGCGATCATCATCATCATTATTACAACAATCATCATCATCATTGAATCAATCATTACAACAACAACAACGACAATCATTAATATCATACCAACAACAACTGCTATCATCATCACAACAACAACAGCCATTATCATCACAACAACAACAATCATCATCATCACACCAACAACAATCATCATCATCACACCAAAAACGACAATCATTATCATCGCAACAACTACAACGACAATTATTGTCGTCTTTAAACCAATCATCATCATCACCGCTACACCAACACCAACAACAATCGTCATCAACCTCGTCATCGCCAGCAATGATGGCGAATGTGAACGTCCTACTCTTGTTCGTTGTCGCCTGTTGCATGGGCCTCGCTATTTTTGTTCTTTGGTTCTTCCACGTTGAACTCGTCGCCAAGAATCAGACGACCCTGGGTTTTTATTTTATTTAGTGTCTTTTTGTTTTTTGGTTTATTTAGTGTCTTTGGTTTTTTGGTTTATTTAGTGTCTTTTTGTTTTTTGGTTTATTCGGTGTCTTTGGTTTTTTTGGTTTATTTAGTATCTTTGGTTTTTTTTGGTTTATTTAGTTTTTTCCGTTGTTTATTTAGTTTTTTCTGTTGTTTATTTGGGATTTTTAGTTTTCTGATTTTTTTGTGGTTTATTTAAGGTTTTTGGTTTTCTGGTTTACTTCGTTTTTTTTTGTTTATTTAGGATTTTTGGTTTACTCATGATATCTATGGGCTTATTTAGGATCTTTGGTTTTTGATTTATTTAGAGTTTTTGGTGTTTCATCAACTTCATCACATCGTCTTCGTCATCATCATCACATCACAATCATCACATCATCATGTCAATCATTGCCATCACGAACATCGTCATCATCATCACCATCAGAGTCACTGAGGGCTCCAGTCTTTAGGTCAGGACCCGATAAGAACGCTTACAACAGGGGCTGTCGGAAGAACTTCATCGAGGTCTTCGGTAGGTCACCACTCCTTTGGCTCCTGCCCGTTTTCACCGAGTGAGTATTGATGATGATGATGAGAATGATGGTGGTGTTGGTGGTGGCTATGATGGAGGTAATGTTGGTGATGTTGATGGAAGTGAAGGTGATGATGAGGGTGATGGAGGTGATGATGGTGATTGAAATGATGATGATGATGGTGAAGGTAATGATGGTTGAGATGATGATTGAGGTGAGGTGATGATGATGATGGTGAAGGTGACGAAGATGGTGATGATAGTCGTTATCATCATTATTCGTTAATTGATTTGTGATTATGATAATGATTGTTGTAACAACAACTTAATCATCATCACTACCACCACCGACAACAATAGCATCATCATCATAACCCAAACAGTATGGGGGACGGAGTGACATTCACCGCCAGAATCTCCCCAATTCCTATTGGCTACAGGACCATGGACCTGACGACAGCGCCAGCCAATAGCAACGCGCCATCAGCGATCAACGTGACCATGACGCCGAAAGTCGAAACGCAATTGGTCCACGTCCAACCAATGAGGTGCGCTGTGGCTCTTGTATTATTATTATTGTTATTATTATTATTATTGTTATTATTATTATTATTATATTTATTATTATAATTATTAGATAACTTTCTTCTTAATTTCCGTCTTTCATCTTTATTCAATCTATCAATCAATCAATCGATCAAATCAAATCAATTCAATTATTGCTAATGAAAAAGAACACATTCATCATAAAAAAGTTAAAGCCATGCTGCACACAGTTGATGAATTAATTAGATAATTCATTAGATTAATTAATTAGATAATTAGATACTACAGCTACACAATGGTAGCTGCAGATCTTAAAAAGTACTTTGGTCCAGTCGCAACTCTCAGATATCCGACATCTGACTGACTGACCTGGATTGGAAAACCCTGGATGAGCTGATAGCTTAGGCCCAAACATTCGATCATTAAAAAATCTTGATAATTAATTGATAAGAGTTTAAAAGGATTATAAAAATCTATTGGACTAATTTCAAACGCTCTAATTAAAATTACTAATTAATGGCCAAGATAATTGATTGATAAGATAATTAATTGATAAGAGTTTAAAAGGATTATAAAAACTAATTTCAAACGCTCTAATTAAAATTACTAATTAATCTTTAAAAACTTCTGGCCAAGATAATTGATTGGTGCATGATATTTATTCATCATTATTATTATATTTATATATTTATCTGTGTATATATTTATGAATCTGATTTTAGTTTTTTTTTGAGTTTCAATAAAAAAAGTTTCCATTATTATTATTATTGTTGTTATTATTATTATTCGCCACTACAACAGCAACTTGACAACAACACCGACCAAGAACAGCAACAACAACAAGGAATACACGTTGTTAGAGGGACGAGACGAAGAAGGTATGGATGAATGAATGAATGAATGAATGGATGAATGAATGCATGGATGGATGAATGGCTGGATGTTTTGTGTGGTGGATGAATGAGTGAGTGAATGAATGGATGAATGAATGAATGCATGGATGGATGAATGGCTGGATGTTTTGTGTGGTGGATGAATGAGTGTGTGAATGAATGGATGAATGAATGCATGGATGGATGAATGGATGAATGCATGGATGGATGAATTCATGGATGGATGAATGAATGGAAGGAAGTTTTGTGTGGTTGACCGAAAGAATTTTATGAATGAATATATTATGGATGGATAAAAGAATGCGTGGGTGAATAGATGACGGAATGGATGGATGGATGGAGAGACGGACAGAGGAATGGACGAATGAAGGAATGGATGGATGGACAGAGGAATGAATGAATGAATGGATACATTGATAAAAAAATAGATTAAATTAATTATTTTTTAATTAATTTGTTAAATAATTTAATTATATAATTTTTTTAGAGCCAAAGTTTCCTGTGAGGGTAGAGAAAATGACAAGGTTTATGTGAGGCAGCAGACCATATATAGACAACAAAATTTATTATTTCATTTGTTTATTTATTCGTGTTTTCATTCATTCATCCATTTGTTTGTATGTTCATTCGTTCGATCGTTCGTTCCTTCGTTCGCTCGTTCGATCGTTCGTTCCTTCGCTCGTTCGTTCGTTCGTTCATTAGTTTATTCTTCAAATTAACGTTCATTTTTTCGCTCATTCATTCAACCATTCGTTCGTTTGCTTTTTTTCATTCATTCGTTCATTCGTTCACTCGTCCATTCATTCGTTCTTTCATTCATTCATTCGTTCGTTCGTTCATTTTTTGCTTATTTATTATTTATTTATATATTAATTATTCAATTATTTATACTTAATATGTTCACTGATTCATTCATTCATTCATTCTTTTATTTGTATGTTTTTGCATACCATCATTCATTCTTATTTTAATGAATGGCTGACTGAATGAACGAATGAATGAATTAATTAATTAATTAATTAATATTTTAATATTTTAATTGGGAATGACCTTTAACCTTTAATTTGTCGCTAATTAGTACCATCACTCAATTGTAATAACTTTCTTTGTTTACTCATTCATTTTGTTCATTCCTTCGTTTATTTATTCATTCCTTCGTTCGTTCGTTCATTCATTCATTCGTTCATTCATTCATTCATTCATAGTTTCATATTAATTCATTTTTATGTAAATTTGTAGAACATACATAACATTTCTCTCTCTTTCTCTCTCTCTCTCTCTCTCTTTCTCTCTCTCTCTCTCTCTTTCTCTCTCTCTCTCCTCTCTCTCTCTCTCTCTCTCTCTCTCTCTCTCTCTCTCTCTCTCTCTCTCTCTCTTTCATTCACTTCCTTCTATACTGCAGAGTTGTTTGTTAAGTTAGAATTAAGTTAAAATTATGAAAAGGAGTAATTAAATGAATGAATGAATGATTGATGGAATGAATGAATGAATAAAAAGTTATCGAAAACCCGATTTTTTGTTTCTTTTTTAAAGACAACAAAAAAACAAATAAAATTATTCATTTATTTAAAATGTAGTATTATCGGCATGCTGCTTCGATTAAATTTTAAGGTCGTCTGGTTTGGTTGCACCGTGACCAGGTTCGAATACGACCACCGCCTGTCGTAAACTTCTTGTGTTGTGTGTGTGTGTGTGGTGCGTCAATCAATCAATCAATCAATAAGCTTATAAAGCGCTATTTCCGTGATGTTCAACAGCGCTCCTCAATGAATTTTGCAAACAGATGGGTCTTGAGATCCGCTCTGAGCTTCGTAAGTGATGGAGAAGTAATCAGAGAAGGAGGTAGAGAGTTCCAGAGAAAAGGGCCAGAAAAAGCATAAGCAGCTTTAGCAGAAGAGTGTTTAACACGAGTTAAGAAGAAGTGACAACAAGAAGAAGATCGTAAACCGGGGCGTTTAGGTTCAATTAATATATCTGATAAATACTTAGGAAATAATTTAGATTGAGGCCTCTACATAAATGTGCGAATTTTTAAAATTATTCTATATTTTATAGGTAGCCAGTGCAAGAGAACAAAATGTGGAGATATGTGAGAAAAGAAAGGGGCACGAGCAACTAGACGAGCAGCTGAGTTAAAAGCTTTACTTGAATGATAGAGTGTAGAATCAGGAAGACCATAGTAGAGCGAGTTACAATAACCAATCCTAGATAAGACTAACGAAGTAACAAGAAGGAGAAGAGTAGGATCGTCAAGAAAAGGCACAAGTTTTTTTATTCTACGTAGTTGAAAATAAGAAATTTTAGAAGCACTATTAATCTGAGAAGAAAGAGACATAGTAGAATTAAAGATAAAGCCTAGACTACGAAACTTGTGAGAAACATCAAGAGTTTAAGTCAGGTAAGGTAATAGGAGGAATAGTAATAGAGTGTTTAGATTTATTAAAACGAATTAATTCAAATTTAGAAGGATTAAGTTTAAGACATATAGAGTCATAGACTAAGCGATAAATGAAAAAAGACATAGAGATTGATTATGAAGAACATTATTGAGATTAGATGGAGGAAAAGAAGTATAAATATAAGAATCATCAGAGTATAGTTGACAAGTGAAAGAAAAATTATTAATAATACGAGGTAGTTTAGAAGTATAGAGTATAAATAGAAATTATAAAAATTATTCACAGAGTATAAATCATTTTTATATAAATTATTGTTGAAATTGAAGCTTCGGTCGATCGTTTGTTTGAGTTTGTTGAAAAAAAATTTAAATATTCTAATTTGCTAATATATCAAATTTAAACTTTAACATTAGTTCGGAAAGCAATTTCATCCAACAAAGCAACAATACAACCCACAAACAAAATACAAAAGGTCACTAGAATTCCCTCTTGTTCATTCCACAAAGTCTCCGTGGAGAGACAAAGTTATTTGTCTCTCCACGTGGACAAATACCTTCTTGGGCTTCGGTTGTTTTCTTTATAATTTAAATCCAGTTTTAGGATGTTTGATTATTTTAACAAATGATGATTTACAGGTTTAAACAAGTTTGACAAATTTTAATATACATTTGACTGAAAATGAATTAGAAGTAGGAATTTCGGGATTCCTAAAATATTTTCATTGGGATTGAGCTCGCTGAATCAAAATCAAGATTGAGCTTACCCAGTTTTAATTTAAACAGAAATAAATTTAGCAGAAGGTAAGGAGTGTTCATTATTATCCCAATCACTCGGTTGATTGGCTGCGTTGCCGGCTACGTTGCTCGTCGTTACATAGCTCTGAGTTTCGATACTGTTCCGATACCGTCTCGACATTGTCTCGACACTGTCTAGTCTCGAGGATCGCTAATTGATGATAACAGCAAAAATTTATTAACCAAATAATTTTAGAAAGCAGTATTTAGCGAAAGTCAACTAACGACTTAGTTCATATTGGCTGAATTTGGCTGCCACGAATACGGTTAATGAGTTTTAGTAAAGAAGTCTTTACAATTAATCAATTAAAATTAATTTATTTATATTTTAACGTTAATAACTAAAACGAACCAAGTGAGCAAAATGATAAAAACATTCCTCTATTTTTGTTACTGCAAGTTTTTTTTACCATTTATAATGTTACCTTTTATAAGTTAAGTATATGTTAATAAGCATGAAATTATATATAATGGTTATTTTGCCGCGGTTTTCACAATCTTTATCTTCCTTTTTCTGGCCCTTTTCTCTGGAACTCTCTATCTTCTTCTCTGACTCTTTCTCCAACCTTACAAAGTTCAGACCCATCTGTTTGCAAAATTCATTGAGGAGCGATGTTGAACTTCGGAGAAATAGCGTTTTATAAATTGATAGATAGATAGATAGATAGAGATAGATAGAGATAGATAGAGATGGATGGATGGATGGATGGATGGATGGATGGATGGATGGATGGATGGATGGATGGATGGATGGATGGATGGATGGATGGATGAATGGATGGATGGATGGATGGATGGATGGACGGATGGATGGATGGATGGATGGATAGATTGATAGATTGATAGATAGATAGATAGATAGATAGATAGATAGATAGATAGATAGATAGATAGATAGATAGATAGATAGATAGATAGATAGATAGATAGATAGATAGATAGATAGATAGATAGATAGATAGATAGATAGATAGATAGATAGATAGG